TACCCAGAATCCTCCCTGCATTACCCAGAATCCTCCCTGCATCACCCAGAATCCTCCCTGCATTACCCAGAATCCTCCCTGCATGACCCAGAATCCTCCCTGCATTACCCAAAATCCTCTCTGCATCACCCAGAATCCCTACTGCATTACCCAGAATCCTCTCTGCATCACCCAGAATCCTCCCTGCATTACCCAGAATCCTCCCTGCATTACCCATGTGGCAGTACCAGTGTAATCAAAATGGGTAACTTCACCTTAAGACTGCTAATTTAATATAAGGTTGCAATAGTTCCTTGAAAGTTACCTTGAAGGCACACAGGCCCGCCGATGAGGCTAGAGTAGAGGTCTTCAACAGGGGGTCCGAGGTACTGCATGGGGGTCGCGAAAGTCTTGGTTGATTACTTTTTTTTAATATTCCCTCCTGCAATTTTTTGCACTACTGTAATTAAAATGTCTTTAAATCCACATTAACATGAATTCAACGCACAGTAGTAAACAGATAAATGGAGGCAGAAGATGTCCTTCAGTCATCAATGCTCACATTCAGCGACACACAGGAGCTCTTTCAAACCTGGGCACCATTTCATTCACAACACCTGTCCCATCAACCAGGAATCAGAATCAGAAATACTTTAATAATCCCAGGGAGAAATTACTTTTGTTACATGACTCCATATGTAATAGAGTGACCATAGGACCAGTTTGATATAACACAATTTCATACAATATATATAATTAGGGGGTCCCCACTCTATCTCGCAATCAGTTTGGGGGTCCTTGGCTTTGAAAACGCTGAAGACCCCTGGGCTAGAGACAATCTCACCCAATTCAATAGTTTTATTGCACAAATTTATTATTCTAAGCAAGGCAAATTAAAACCATTCACACATTAAAACAACAGTTATGGCTCAATTTGAGGATGGTAGCGCAGACCAGATTAGTGACCTACAAAAGAAACACAGCAAAAAAACAAACAAGAAGAAAATCTTGCACCAAACCAGAAGGAGTACCACCACCACCCAGAAAGTCCACCACCAACACCAGGAGCTGGCCTTTCCTGTCAAAATAAAAGAGACATTCAAATCACATGTTTCATACTGATACAGTTCAGTCCACAACAACTCAAGCAGCAGCAGTTCCATAAAGAGCAGGCATGAAGCTGACAGGTAGGCAGCCGGCGATGGAGGACAACAGGCGGACCCTAACCCAAGGACAAACAGCAGCGTCTATCAAACATGCATGTCAAAAAAATCTAGAAGCATCTAGAATGAGCTTCTCACTGACCACTGAGCTCTATGTAGTTCCTCTGGCAGGAAGGAGAATCTGGCAGCTTGTATGGGACACCTGGATATACCGGTAAAGCTGCTCTAAGACTAGGCTAACAGAGAATAAGGGCGTGAGAAACTTCTTACCACAAGAAGGCTTGATCAG